AGTGGCATTCGCCATGGTGGTCAAAGTTGTCGCCCTTGCCATGGTCATCGTGGCCATGGTCATGGTCATCTTCTTCGCAGTACGCTAGTCCATCCATGCACTCGCAACCGGCTGTCGTGATGGTTGATTGGAGTGGTCGGTTCCGATTCGGTAAAAAGATGAATGCACCAAATACGGTTTAGAAAACAACCAAGGCGAAAAGAAACACAGATGCGTTGACACAATGAGAAAATTATAGTAACACGTACCTTCTTCCTCTTCGTGGAGGCAGTGGACAACACCTTCGTCACAATGGCACTCGCCATGGTGATCAAAATTATCACCATCGGTGTGATTTCCTTCCATCAAGAATCGGGGCTCATCGACAGATTCACCGATGGCATTGATGTTGCCACTCGCGAAGGACGAGACGACCAAGAGAGAGAGAAGAAAGACGGATTTGGAGGAGATCATCATTGTCGATGTCGCAGATGATTTTTTATCGATTTGTGATTATGCGTTGTCAGTTACGAACCGTAAATCCGATCATACGGGGAAGAGAAAAATAGTGAGATACCGCAAAAGATTTTTTTAAGTACCACTGTCTACGACAATGTACAGCACAGAAGAGACTGAAGGGAAGAAAGAATATCCACCATTGGTGTTCTGGGCCCTGACACCTAGAATCATCGGAATTATGTACGAGTACTACTAGTAGCGTATTAACAGGAAAAATGTTTCCCCAACGAAGTCATACTTCGTAACTACCGTTTCTGGGATTGCCGGCTCGGTCGAGTTTTCTTTAAATACGGCCTTTAAGGCTCATTACGATAATTATCGTCGACGCAAGGCCGTTAAGAGGCTTCAGTTTTCAACGTTGCACATGGTAGGATACAATATCCATAGGCTCTTTCGCTCCCAGGGCTATTGTGAGAAAACGTGCTATTTCATAATGTACCATGTTCGAGGAGGTACGGTACAATACAAATGACGCTCATAACCTCTAAAACGAACAAAATACAAAATTATTTCCTTCGTCCCCCAATGTGTGGACGGGTTTAAACAATGTTCACCCTACCAGATTCTGCATTCACCAAACAAAGAATCCACCTCAACATGACCATTGGGATAACAATATCTCCACAACCAAAGCATTCTAAGACAAGCCGAGCTTACTGTTGTAAAGTGCTCACTCTTCTTATTAAGAAGTTTGCCAAATATCATTCTAATGGAGGGAGAAATCTTATTTTACTACGACTACTATTACTAGTACTAACTAGTAGTACTAGTACTACGACTGCTGGTGGTGATCTACCGCCCCCCAACAAATGGCAGGCAGTAGTACTTGGGCAAAAAAGTAAGAAATTTTTGAATTCAGCAAATACAGCAAGAACACTAGGAAGGAAGCTTCCCTTGGCAATTCCAACTGGTCAACTGAAACAAGCAATCATGTTTGATTGGTAGGACTACTACTACTACTACATCTCATCATTGTGATTGCTGGGGGGGATGATTTGGTGACAAATTATTTTTCCGACAGCCAAGGCTTGGTACTTAATTTTCCAATTAGTATCAGTACTATTTGTTTGTTGTTTTGTTTTCTCCAACCAACTGGATGGGTTTGCCACCAGGATGGTCAAAGTCATTGATGCCATAGATTCCACCACGACCATTGATGATGATCTCAGTTGATTGAAGATGCAGCAGAGGACAGGGGTCATAGCATGCATTTTTCAGCATCAGGACAAAAAGATTCTATTCCATCCGTGGCAGGAATGAGAAAATTTTAACCCCAGGGATTTTTTTCAATCCCATTTTCTTTACTGCATATCACTGCAAAAAGTGTACCTGAAAGACCCCATGCACAGGAACACTTCTAATCACTCTCTAATTTTCAAACTTCACATGCACATCTCTCACATAGTTGAGAGGCAAGTAGTAAGTATATTTTCACTCTTATTCCTATCTGCAGTTCAAAATTTAAGTTGCTGGTGACACAGGGCTGGTGATAGTAATAGGCTAGTACAGAGGACTACTAGTACTGTATTTACAGTAGAAATAATGTCCTTTGTCCAGTCAGTCCCACCAGTCTAGTCCTTAGCAAAAATTCGAGACGTCTGTCCTTCATCCGTTTCTCCCACTAATTCTTCCCCAGCAGTAATTTCTACTAATAATCTAGTCAATATTCAACAGTGGAAAGGTACACTATCATTCCATTTGACACTGAAAATATTGGCATATTCAGAATCCTCATGAAAAACTGAGTTAGTATACAAAGTACTCAAAAATTCTAATGGTAGTATTTTTGATAATGTGGTTGTTACTGCTTAAAGGTTGGATAGATTTACTAGTATTATGCAGTAAAAATAAAATTGAAAAAATCCCTGGGGTTAAAATTTTCTTATTCCTGCCATGGATGGAATATGAGTTTTCGATGCATTGCGCACCCCTCTAAATTATGAGCCCTGGCAGAGGACATGATGTTTGGTTGAGTCTGTGTCAACTTCTTTGTTGTTGCTCAGAATCTTGACTATGTATCAACAACAACAACAACAAGTTTTGTCCTAATGTATTCTACATAGTTCTATGTATTGAGTTTTTCCAATTGATAGAAACGTGTTTGCAAGACCACCAGCACTACTAGTATGACTGCTCTGGAATGGCCTCTAGTAATGTCTTCCCCTTTGGGGATATGATGCTCAGCAGTCATAGTAGTGTTGGGGAGGAGTGCATGTACCAGTATCCTAACCAATAGGTCCACAGTGGCTGGCATGCTCATCTAACAGCTGGTGGTATGGCCTAATTTTGCTAGTATTTGCAAGACCAGCTGGTGTGTGGTACAAAATAGGCCAGCAAGTGACCCAAAAACAGCTTTAGGCCACTGCCGGACTAGAGTACTAATAAGTGCCCTGTCCTTATTGATATCATCACTTAGGAGTCTGTGTCTTGGAAACCCATAGGATGGTATGTGCACTTTGAACTAGCTCACCAAAGTTACAATAGCTGGTGGCCACATTTTGATGTAAGAAACAGGGCAAGATGGAACCTCCTATGTTATACTTGTACTATCAGTTATTTTGATATCATTATAGCCAAAATGAACGCACAATTTTTGGCCACCACTGTTTCTCATTTTGAACCAAGAGTTTTATTTTTACCACAAGTCAAATCTAATTAAAAAAAGGAAGCATGAATTATTAGAACTGTGTCCGTTTACTGTTTCTGTACCAATACACCCCTCCATACCCTAAATTTTATATTCCCAACCCCCTTTACAGGTAGTCTCGACCTTTTCCGGTTTGGAATAAAATGTTTTAGCTCTAAATTCACAAATCGTCCCTCTTTGACAGAAGTACTCCCCACAAGAAGCTCCTCCCTGACTGTTTCAAAAGTAGCACATAGAAGCAGCAGGAGAGCATTGCCCTGAAATAATGATTGTTGTGGGTCACATTGATAAATCATGGGCTATGTCCTATCTTCTTTGTTGGAATAAATTTTGGTCGTAATATCATTGTTGTTGTCAATAGTAGTAGGAGATGTAGTCAACAAAGAATGATCTTCTCCTCCTATATGGGACACAGCAACAAGAGGAGGCACCACAATCTTCAAATGACTTCCCATTGTCTGCTGCTGCTGCTGCTACTACTACTACTACTACTCCTACTAGTAGTAGTTGTAGCTTCCTCTTCCCACTTGTAGCACCAGAAAGAAAACTGCTAGCAAAAAGGACTGAAGAATGATGGTCATGATTGATTGTCATTGAGACGATGACAAGGAAGAGTGGTGGTAGTAGTGCTCCTACTACTAGTACTACTACTATTGCTGGCACTTGTAGTAATGCCAGCAGGAGAAACAAAGTACTACAACAACTACTACAAGTATTACTACTGCTGGCACTCGTAGTAATTCCAGCAGGAGAGGAAACAAAGAAATACTACTAGTACTACTAGTACTAGTAGTAACATGATAACAAGACGAGGAGACGAGGAGGGCCTCCTCCTCCTACTATCAACCCAATAAAGGGTGAAATATTTTTCAAGGCCATAATTCTTGTTAGTACTGAGATATTGGTCATTCCTGTTCAAAAGTAGGAAGAAGAGATGCACTTCACCATCATCAGCAGTAGTAGTAATTTTGTTTCATGTGTTTCCAAAAGTAGGAGTCCGATTTTAAAGAAGATGCTCACGTAGATTCTGGAGGGCCTAAACTACCCATATTGATACCCATATTGAAGCTTTTTGAGCTTATGTAGTAAACATATTGCCTAAGTGTTGTCGAAGTTGCATCCCAACGAAAAAAGACAAAGCACGTTCTCATTGTACTTGACGCAATTAATGAACACTTCATCAGCCATAATTTTCTTTATTTGTATCCTCCATACTGATGCTTCGAGTTTGAGCGAATTCGTCGATAATCTATTTCAAAGGGTTAAATATAGGATGGCAATAAGAAACCACATACAAATTGTTTTAAGATCACAATGACAGAGATATTCTCATACTGTGTTTTTTAGATAGCCCATCGCTCCGAAAAGTGAATATTTATAGGATTTTCATGTGCAAAACGTTAAATGTTAGACTGAAAACGGACATGACAGATGCTCTTTTTTCGAATAAAAAATTCACAAGACTCGCAAGTTGCAAAAGAACACACCGTTCGTTTGGTTTCACAAAAAGGACAAACTGATGTTGGCGGAAGTAAGAAGTAAGATAGCACAATTTCAATGCATCATAGACAAACTCGAGAAGTCGCTCGCCTCTTCATTTGATTTCGGAATTTTTTAAAGTGTAAGAAACTAACAATACCGTGCTCGCATACTCTATTGAATCTATTGAACCATGAAACGGACTAGTGAGCACCTTTGTTGTGTCCTCTACGGTTTATTATTTTCCACCTTTTACATATGCATCAGCTACAATCTTGGCTTTCTTTGGACGCCAAAACATTCAATCGAATGTGGAATAAAAAAGAATGAAGATCTCATACCGCCACAGCGCAGCAATGTGCTGCACAATGCCAACAAAGAGACAAACAAGAAGTATCGAAATCCATACGACGAGACCGACTCGGAAGCCCTTTCTTTCTACAACGATCTCGAACTGATTAAGATGATTGGAGAGGGGGACGTCAGCTACGCTTTTGAGGCCCGGTACAAAAACCAGACGGTAGTTGCCAAAATTGCCGCAGACGATGAATTGTACTTTTCCGATATAGAGATAGATTTTTTCCGCGAGCTCAATGCACCTCCCAGCATTTCGAATATTCCCAAATTATATTATGCAGTTCGATCCATGCCTAATCCCTTTTTTGCAGGAAATCAAACCTACTTGAAAAAGGACCTGAAAATTCCTTCCAACAGTGCCAGGCGCTTGACCAAGAAGCGACGAATCAGTGTGCTCGTAATTGACCTGTTGGAGAATCGGGTAGATCCGAAGGGTCTCGACGATGTTCGGAGATTGATGAAGTCCATGTTGGAAACGATGCAATTCGTCCACTCTCGCAACATTATGCATTGCGATCTTCACGGTAACAACTACTTTTGGGACGGCAACAAAGTCTCTTTCTTTGACTGGAACGCCGCCTTTAAATATGAGCCAAACAGGGTGCCCATCCATTACGATCGCGCACCAGACCAACTTTTTCCACCCGAGGCCGAACATAATACCTCGTCTGTGCATACCTCCGTCTATGCCTTCGACGTTTACACGATTGGTCGACTATTGAAAATGCTTCTGGAAAAAAATTGTGGAGTTACGTTGAAAAAGCTCCGGAAGTCCCTGAAAAAATTAGACACGAGCAACAAATCCGAAGAAGCGAGGTCAAGGCTCCTGGATTCAGCCCTAGCATACGAATTGGCGGAATACATGATGATTCCTGACCCGTACAAACGCCCAGATACAGCAGCAGCACTGATGCACCCCTTCTTTGAAAAGTTGACGGCAGAAGAACAAATATCTAGGTGATTTTGTGACCTAAAGTGAATAATTATAACGTGGTGCACGTTATATTTTTCACAACGCTTTGGGGATTTTGATTTCAGCGCCGCCTCTCGGATTGAGAGCTAAAACCAAAAACTATTTAGCCAAAAGAAGACGATCGAATGAAATCATCTACCTGTTATGTTTCGTATACTTGTCTTCAAATACCATTGCACTCCAATAGTCTTTCTTGTAATCATCAATTTTTCTTCCAACGACAAGCGGAGGCGGTGGGTTGCGGTATGATGCAGTGTTCCATCAATCATTGCCGGGTCCGACCTCAGCGGAACGAGCAGCGACACGAGAACGAATGCCAGCAACGTCAATAGCACCACCGCCCACCACCAACATAGGTCATGGACGATGGCGACAGAAAGCAACAACAATCGGCGGACAAACTGATACTTACTTAATCCCAGTGTTGTAATGAGTTGATTGTTCTAACGTACGGTTCGGGGAAGAATGCTATCTAGAAAATGTGAATAGATGACTGACAGCGAAATGAGCGCGACGTATTCCACGGATCTTAGAAGATAATGAGCAAAATTAATTACGGGAAATCAGGTGATGGATAGTAACGTAATACAGAATTACAGTAGTTTTATAAGATACTCTGCACATCAGTCATAATACCATTTACAATGCCCGTACTATTGGTACAAAAACAATTATGATAGAGCGCAATCGGAATATTGGGGAAAATCCATCAAATAATGTCGCCTGGCTAGTGGCGCCGCAACTCGAGATGATCCATAGGATGGTGTCCCGGTCCGTAAAGAATAATATCGTTATGCCACGAATTCGACGCGTAGAAACCAGCCTGCGAACTCAAACTGGGGGACTACACGCCGCTCTGAATAACGATCATCGACATGTTTCAGCAGTGCGTCGAAGCAGGGTTCTTCGCCTCTCCTGGCAAACCAAAGGGTGATGGTTGTGGAAGAAAGGGTGCGACACAGTAGTATTTTCAACAAGGTACGTACTATTACGATTTATGTATCGCATGATGCATAATTGTTTGGTTCTATTCTATTCTTTACTGTAATATTACATCATGTTTGCGAAATTGTCAAGCTTTCTGATTCGCTTGGAATTGAGCTCTCCGACGCAACGCCGCCTGCCGGTTAGCTTCTATCCGGGCCAGTTGTTCCGCTGTCAAAGTTGTGGCTGTTCCATTGACGCGACCGGGAGAATGGAACTGCTGAGAAGGGGGAGCTTCCGTGGTTTTGGTGTCGGTTGCACTGCCGAGAAAGCACAACGATGCACCACGTGTGCTAGACGCATTCAATCTTTCGACAGAAGAGCGAATGGGGTTCACTTCGCCGTTGCTGATGGCGGGACGCAAACCATCAGTCATCAGTTGGATTGGAGAATCTGTCCCGTTGGTTTGTGAACGCGACAGATCAATCAGAGCATTGCGATCATTGGCTGGCGTCGATTCCGATCTAATTTGAGAGAGTGTGGCATCAACATCGGCACCAGCAGAAGCCTCCAAGCGCTTATATTCGCTTTCGATCTCATCACAGTCCCCACCCTGCCGGTGGTGTTCTAAGACGCTGCGAATGAAATGCATTCGGCCGAGTCCGCGTTCCGAGGAAGGTATTGAACAACCATTTTCGGTGTAAGAAGGGGATGAAGAATCAGGTGCTCTCATGCTGCGACGATTGAAGTTCGGGGTTCGGAATTGGTGCTCGCGTTCCCGACGAGCATCCAACGCACGGTGAATGTTGCTGGAGCCGCCGCTGTCATTTTCATCGCGGTTTTTACAAGCACCGTAAACGAAATCAGTAGACGCGGCGTCGGGATCGACATCGCCAAGAACATCTTGGGAAAAATGCTGCGTCAGATCCGGATTGTCGTTGATAAAACTGTCTTGGGATCCAGTCCCTTCCTCCTCTTCGAGTAAGCGGAGCTCTTCATTCTCGATCTCGTCGTCATGGTCTTGATCGGATCCGATCTCTGCCTCATCTAGGACAAAGCGAGCGAGACCACGACGTCGGCGTTCTTTGAGGCTTTCCTTTTCTTTCTTTTTTATTTCTTCGTCGTCATCTGTATCATCAAGTATCTCTATTTCCTGTTCCCGAAAATTGTTAGTTCCAAAGACCTTCTCGGACTGCGTTCGTTCTCGCTCGTATGTATTTTTCCCTTTCCGCTTGAGTTTTTTTGGCCTTTGTGAACCATTCATGTTTGTTTTCTTCTTGCTGCGTATGATTCGAGTATTTTCCGACGATAGCTGGTCTGCGTTGCCACTATGCTTCGGGCAAAACATAGAATGCTTCATGGGCTGCCCTTTGGTTGCTGCACAATGCACGATAGTCCAACCGGAGTCTAGTGCACAATGCGGATGGGCAGCGTCGGAACACAAATTGCACTGTACCGCACCGAAAAGGGAGCAAACAGAACAATTAGCAGACGTCATTTTGCACGACAATGCCAGGCATAGAGGATGGCAGAATGTCGCTCCATCCTTTCTCAGTATACCGTTGTGCTGGCAGCAAAAGGTGCATGTAGTTGAAGAGAGACATCGCGAAGGATGCTTGCAAGCGTCACAAAACCAAGGATCTGCCGACTCAACGTCTACTTCTGCTCGGTAGCAGAGCTTGTGAAATCCAAGGTTGCAGCCGTCACACAATACTATCGGGTCTTTATCCGTCGTATCGCCCGATGTACAAATTTGGCAAACAATCTCCGTTGCGATGTCACCGTTCTTTGTAGCAGGAGTATCAGTCAAAAAGGCCGACGCATCAGCATTGTTCGGGGTATCCCTCAAGAAACGAGAGATGGGATCAGAGGCCGTCTTTGGTGTATCTTCAACTGTGCGTAAAGTCGAATTATTCACAGAAGAAGAAGAAGGAGTCATAGTTTGATACGATAAACCCGTGACTAAACGTTCCTCCTCGCCGTTTTCTTCGTCGCTGTCATCGGTTCCTATGCGTAGCCGCTTCCGATTCTTGCCTGATTTCAAGTGATTAACAATTTCCTGTTGACTTGGACTTTGCGTTGGTACGGAACTTTCCTTCAAACTGTCAGTAGCGGAACCTTCGGGTGTCTCCAGTAGTCGAGGACGAATGCATCTCTCTGATTTTGCAACAGTAGAATTCTGATTGTGGCTTTTGTCTGAACCATCGTGCCTGTCACATGGAGTATCCAAAATATCTGGAGAATCCTTTTTTGACTTCTCCGCGTCATGACTTCTTTCCCTTGTCTTTTTAAAGTAGGTCAAAGGTACATCTTCATCACTATCTGTATCATCCCCTGCATCTTTCTTCCTTTTTTTCTTATTTTGTTCGGAATCGTTTCTAAATCTCTCGCCTTCAACGTATCTATTCTTACCCGACGAGACATTGTTTTCAACAGCCGGGTTCTTCCTCTCATTCTTCTTCCGTAATGAAGAGAGAGAAACGTCGTTTTGGGAGGTTTTCAACGTGATTCCTTCCAATATCTTCAAAGGGCTATCGGAAGTGATATCTTTTCCGCACGCGGTTCCATCCATATGATACCCATCGTTTCTGCTCATCGTTTTGGTAATGCTAGATTTTTTCAAAGTGCTCAACGCAACATCGTCATCACCTTCGAAGCCAAGAAAATGATTTCCTTTTTCGACACTTGAAAGGGTGAGCGCTTTATCTTCCTTGGCAACACTCGGTTTGGGTTTCAGCGAACTCAGTGCAAGATCTTTATCACTGCTGACGCCGGAAACAAGTTTCTCTTGTTCGCAATAGGGAGAACTTCCACCTAATTGACCTTTTCTTGCAGGCAGCCTCAATTTTCTGAATTTTTTATCCTCAAGGTTAATCATAGTGTGATCATTGTGATCCAGATTGTCGATTGGGTTTTGAACTTCTTCCTCCCCGCGGTTCATGTCTTCCTCATGAAAAGTACTTGCTTTGACCAGAGGAGCTGCGTGCGAGAAACGACCTTCGATGGTTCCAGATTGTGGCAAAAGTTCAACTTCAGTGTCGTCATTGCTCTCGTCGTCCTCGTCACTGCTTGAACTTGATGATGGTGGCGGAGTCGGCAGTCGAAAGATGGCTTTAATTTCTGGTTTGGTGTCCAACCCCGCAGCGTTGGATTGGGAAAACCTCGGGTCGCCACCACGCTCATCGTTGTCCGATTCTTCTTGGACTGGTTTGGTGTCACTCGCTGTCGTCCTCAGGTTGTCACTTTCTTCTGCGGCTTGGATGGCAATTTGTTGAGGGATCCCCCCGGAAGCATTCTTGTTTTCTTCGAATTCAAACTCGTTATTCACAGCAACGCCAGAGGAGGTCGTTGGATGATTTGTCTCGCACACGGTCTGGCTTCGCCCTTCGTCCTCGTCTTCGCCACTGCTGGAATCCGATGAGGGCGGAGGCGTTGGCAACCGAAAGACAGCCTTTTCGAGATTTTCGGACAAGCGAGGAAAGTCACTCCTGCTGGAATCTGAGGTTGGCGGGGGGGTAGGGAGCCGAAACAAAGCCCTCTCCGGTTGTGGTGATAATGGAACGGGATCGGATTCGGAATCAGCCACTTTCTTCCCACCTTGCAGTGTACTGGTATTTTCGCTTTCACGGTCAACATATTCGTCGACTTCAGCTTTCGATCGAGAATTTTGCGGTACTGGAGGTTGCAGCGACATTGGGACCTGGTTTCTTTTTGAATCGGTTAACTTCTTTCCACCCGTCAGTGCCCCAGCGTTTTCAATGTCATGGGTGGTACTTCCGCTGGCATTGCCACTCGAACGACGATGTTTTTCCGACATCGAAATACTGCTTCTGTATAGGCTTTCTTTGCCGGGTTCCGCACCCTCGTTCAAAGGTGGTCTTTGTCTGGAGATTGCAGGCGGAGCATCGCCACGTCCATTTAAACTCTCTTTCGCAAGCGAATCTGCTCCCGAGAATGGAGCGCCCGTTGCATCGTTCCCATCCACGACGGAAGCTTCGCTTCCCTGTCTTGTCTCATCTACCGTAGTGTTTGGCAATTCCGATGCACGGGCATTTCTGTTGGCAACACCGGGCGATGTTGTCGCGGGTCCGCCTTGGTCCGTTTTGGTTTTCGGCCACATGTTCTTGCGGATCCCGGAACCGGGGCCGGTCCCTCCGGCCTTGTTGATCGTGTCGGATTCCACGTCGCGGACCTGGTGCACCGGAAACAGCTCAAGGATCGCCTCGTGCCCCCTCTTTGCCGCGGCAGCACCAACAAGGTACACCGGCCCGTGCTTTTGCTGGATTTGTTCTAGGATCGAGGCGTTCCTCCCCCGGAACAGATGGGCCCGCTTTTGCACCAGGCGGTTCCGGAGTTCCTTTCGTCGCTGCAGGAGATGCTCTTTTTCGTGTGGGACCAGCCGCTTGCCTTTCCCGCGGTAGAAAAGAGAGGGTGGAAGCCTCGAGGGATCGGCTCGGTTCCTGAGAAAGAATCGCTTGAGTTTCTTCCAGGCCACGGCATCCGGGAGGCACGCGATTGCGTCCGAGCCGTTGCCGCCCCCCATGAAGTGCCTGCGCTCGTCCTCCTGCTCGAGCGTCAGCCTCCATGCGTTCCTCTTGGTCTCCGCCGCCGCTTTCTTGGAACCGGGGGTGGTGAGCTGGGCCCCGGCCACCTCTTTCATGTTCAGCCGGGCCTTGGGCTGCATGGCCTGGTATTCCAGAGCGGGGCCGGCCTGGTGGTGGCTGCCGTGGCCGGGCAGCATGGGATAGTGGCTGGCCATGACAAACTTCTTGGGGTTCTTGAGTGCGTTGGCCAGGGTCCGCTCTCCCTCGACCCGCTTCTTGTGGGTTTGCTCCTCGGGGCCCTCCGCGATGAGCGAGACCACCCGGCCGTCGCGCTTGCGGCCGGTCCGGCCCGCCCGCTGGATGGTGCGGATGGGGGACCGGATCACGTCGTAGTTGATGATCAGATCGACGTCCCCGATGTCGAGGCCCTCCTCCCCGATGGAGGTGCAGACCAGCACGTTGAAGACGTTGTTCCGAAAGTCGCGGATGGCCTTTTGCTGCTCGGCCTGCTTCATGCCCGAGACCTTGTCGTTGCCGGTCGTCGTCGTCGTCGTCGTCTGCTGCTGCTGCTGCTTCGATTGGCCGGTTCCTCCCCCGCCGCCCTTGTTTTGCCCCACAAAGTACCGCGATCGGACCAGCGGCTTGAGCGTTTGTTCCAGGCACCCCACGATTTCCTGGACCGAGTCCCGGAACTGCGCAAAGACGATTGCCCGGGAGGAGTGGTTCTCGGCGTTGCTGCGCTCGAAATGGACCTTCAGCAGCTCACAGAGCTTGGAGAGCTTGGGGTCGACCACGCTTCCAACGGCGAAAGCGTTGTTGTTGCTGTTGCTGTTGCTGTTGCTCCCGTCCGGCCCGCCACCGGTCGCCTCCATGACCTTTTCGAAGAGGGCCCCAAAGTCGTCCGACTTGACGATCGTGCTCAGGATGCCCCTCTGTGGGCCGCTCTTGAGCCGCAGCAGCTTGGTCCGTACGACCCCCAGGCCCTGGTGGCAGTCGTTCTTGATCTGAATCAGCGCGTGCGTCGCGTGGAAGCAGGACAGGATGCCCCCGTTGGTCCGGCCTCGGAAGTTCGTTTCGTACTGCTGCTTGGCCCGGAAGACCGCGTAGGGCGTCAGCGTCTCGGGGGTTCCGTAGGAGAAGAGCTTTTCGTCCTTGAGCCGCTTCAGGAGGGGCTCGACGATGTGGGAGAGCCTCCTCCCGATGTCCCTCTGGTGGGTGTTCCGGGGGCACACCACGATCTCCGTCCTCTTTTCGTGCAGGTAGGGGGCGACCCCCGGATCGGCGTCGGTCCGGGCCTCGATCTTGCAGGACCGGAGGGCTTCGATGACGCCCTGGATTGCCTTGATGGAGGTCCCCGGCGTCGCCGAGAGGCCCAGGATCCGGAACTTGGCCCCGGCGTGTTTCTCGAGGAGCTCGATCACCTTTGTGTACGCATAGTCGCCGGTGGCCTTGTGCGCCTCGTCCAGGACCAGGCAGACGACCCTCGAAAAGGCCAGGGCCGTCTCGTGGTCGACCCCAACGGTGCCTCCGTTCGGATCGTGGTTCTGGCCGTTGCCTCTTTCGTTCTTCTCTCCGCTGCCGCCCCCGCAGGCCGACACCAGGTCCTTCTGGACCGTCTGCGGCGTGCAGTAAAAGACGCGCTTGGTCCTCCAGAGCTCCCTCCGCTCGTGTGCCTTGAGGCGGCCCGTCAGGACGGCCGTCTCGTGCCCCGGGATGCCCATGATGTTGTAGCAGGCCTCGATCTGCTGGTTGACGAGCGGGAGCGTCGGCGCCAGAAAGACGACCTTGCCCCCGCGGCACGACGCACCGCCGTGGTTGCGGCCTTGCAGGGAGGCCCCGGGCGGTGCGAACCACCGCCAAAAGTTGTACATGACCACGGCGGCGATGTGCGTCTTTCCGAGGCCCGTCGGGAGCGACACGAGTGTGTTGTACCGGAGGGCCGTTTCGGTGATCTCGAGCTGGTAGTCCCGGGTCGGAAAGTCGGGGTGCTTGGGGTAGATGTAGGTGAGGGCCGCGTCGGGGTTGTGGGGGACCGGGCCGTCCGAAAAGCCAAAGTGGTGGACCTTTGGTTGCTGCTGCTGCTGGCCCTTTCTCCGCTTGGAGGCATGGGAGGACGGGTTCTTGTCGAAAAAGGAGTGCGGCCGGACATGGGTTTGCTTTTGCGGTCCCGGCCGGGGAGGCGGGGGCTTTTCTGGCTGCGGATTCGGCAGCCGCTGGGGTGCCTGCGCGTTGGAATCTGTGGAATCCATGGCCGCGTCGGACATCTGCTGCTGCTGTTGCTGCTGCTGTTGTTGTTTCTGCTGATGCCCCTTATTCGTCATCGATCGACCCGTCGAGTACGGGTTTCGAACGGATGCATTTTTTGTGTTGCGAGGTTTCCGAGTGGTGACAAAGGGGTGGTTGGTGGCATTCTTTGTTCTCGCTGCCGTTGTTGTGGCTGTGGCTGTGGTTGTTGCTGCTGCAGCTGCTGCCGCACGGACGGGCTTTGGGTGTTTCGAATACGGATTCCTGGAAGCCGCAGCCGCAGCCGCAGCACTGATTCCGGTGGTCCGGGGGAGCGGGGTGGGTGCCCGGTGGTTGTGCCGGTTCTCTTTCGAGAACGACGCCCCGCCTCCGTCGGTGTTGCCGTTGCCGTTGCGGTTGGTGCCACCCGCGCCTCGTTCCCCCTCGTCGTTCTCCGGGAGTTCCACCACGTTTCCCTCCGCCACCGGTGCCACCCTCTTCCCCAGGACAAAGTCGTGCATCTCCCTGCGGGAGGCCCCCCGGAGCTCCCCGCACATGCTGCACCTCGGGGCCGGGACGCTGTGGAAAAAGGTGCAGTTCCGGCAGCTCCACCCAAAGGCGGACCGCGTCGCCATGGCGGCAGGGAGTGGGGTTGGGACGGGTCTTCCGCGGTGTCTGTCTGTGTGTGCTATTGGGTTGTGCGGCGTGCCGTTCGTGGTGGTTCGGGATCCAATCCGAGTCCGTTTGGGAGGACACCGATCCTATGCTCCATGTTTGGTTGCTTGTAGAGAATAGTGATGGTACGTACCAGTACGAGTCCGAATATCGTAGTACTCGTACGTACCGTAGTGACGGTAGTACTCGTACAAGCACCGTACCTGTCGTGCATGTTTTCAATCTAGCTGGTCGTGCGGATGCCATGCATGGTCGGATAGTCGGATAGACTACGATACGGAACGTACCGTACTGTACTCCTAGACTTGCTGTGGAAAACCGCGCCAAAAAATCTCTCACAATTCTATGGAGTAAACTCCGAGCAGGAACGATCGCAAGAAAATCTTTAATTCGTATGTATAATACATATACTAAGTATATACGTACAACTAGATGGATGTGGGGTGTGGGATGTGGAGTTTTTTGTTTTTTCGCAAGATCTTTCTCGTTCTTTGTTCTCTGTTCCATTCAGCGTTTTCGAAAGATATCTCGTTGATTTGGTTGTTTTGGAGTGTCGTGCCCCATGCGGTCGATACGAGTTACTTACTCTTCGACGATACGAGACCGTACGAGGTACCGTACCGTTCGTACCGTACAGCACTTGAAGCGAAACTCAAATTGCAAATTGCACCATTCGGAACTGTCTCGTTTGTTCACGATTCAACGAGACATTTACAAGCAAGTTTTGGAGAAACCGATCGCACAACAGAAGAGCACAACGTCTTGTTCTGCCTTCCTGCGCTGTACCAACGGCCTATCATAGAGACGCAGATAGATTGATCACTGCTTACTACCGTAGATACGAAACGAAACCGCCTCGGACCCAAACCCACACCAAGAACGGCACAAAGACAGAACAGCCGACGGAACAGAAAAAGACATTCGGCCATGCAAAAGCAGGAGAAAATTTCCTGGAAGGACACGAACCTTGCCCTGAGTGAGTGGATTCGAAACCGCGGCGGGCCTCGGTCGCCGGGCCCCGCCGACCAACACCGGGCTTGGCACGGCACGTAAGGCTTCCGGTGCTTCGCCACCGCGCCGGAGCGGGGTTTCCAAAGACGGCAAGGGGTTCTCGCCGACGTCTAACCGCTTGGTGTTTCTTCCGTGCCACGTTTTCTCTTCCCCTCTCGTTCGACGCGCGTCGCTTCTTTTTTTGGGGCTCGACCCGCCTCGCCTCGCCTCGCCTCGCCTCGCCTCGCCTTGCCAAAACACAACACAACACGAATCCTTGCGTCCTGCCGTTGTGCTGCGCCGTCTCACAGTCGGTTCCGACCTCGACCACAAGGTCAAGGAGGCCGCCGCCCAGGGGGAGGACGCCTGGAAGGGCATCGGAACCAAGGCCGGACTGACCGTCTGGAGGATCGAAAAGTTCCGCGTCGAGCCCTGGCCGGAGGACCAGTACGGCCAGTTCTTCAAGGGCGATTCCTACATCGTCCTCCGGTCCACGGGCAACCCGCCCAACCTGCAGCACGACCTGCACATCTGGATCGGATCCGAATCGACCCAGGACGAGTACGGAACCGCGGCCTACAAAATGGTCGAGGCCGACGAGGTCCTGGGCGGGGCCGCCGTCCAGCACCGGCAGGTGGAGGGCCTGGAGGCCGACGATTTTGTGTCCTGCTTTGACCGCCTCGAGTACCTGGAGGGGGGCATCTCGTCCGGCTTTGTCAAGGTCGAGCCCACAAAGGAGAAACCGCTCTTTTTCCGGTACGGGCCCCGGGAAAACCGCAAGGAGGGGGAGCTGGTCCAGGTACCCATGGACGTCTCGTCGATGGATTCGAGGAGCGGGTTCATTCTGTTGGCCGACAAGGCCACCGTGTGGGTGTGGCACGGGAAGGAGGTGGGTACAACGAAACGAGACTTGTGCGGTCGTGGCCTTTGTGTGTGTGTGTGTGTGTATGTATGTGTGTGCGCGCGCAGTGTGGATTGGGAGAGCGCTGTCGATGCGTTCCTCGACCGAAGGATGCTCGTTTGCCTGTTTTTGCTTTCAATCTTGTTTTGGTGCCCGGGAAAACCCGAACTAACGCGTCTATCGTCCAAACACGAAATGCCGTTCGCGCAGATGAAAATCATGGACAAGATTGCTTGCACCCAGCGGGGCGAGGAACTCTGCACGCTCGGAACCGTCACGGTCCTGGACCAGGGCGACTGCGACGACGACGAAGAGTTCTGGAACTACCTCTACCACGGCGGCAGCGACAAGGCCGTTGGCAGCCGGTCCATCGGCACCTGCCCCACCGGTGCCAAGCCGCGGACGAGCCTGGCGAGTGGCCTCAAGGAGTTCCAGCCAAAGATATTCGTCGTCCCCGAGGACCCGTCGGCCCCCCTGGAGCACGTCGGCCTCGGAGAACTCATCAAAAAGGCCGTCCTCAAGCGGCCCATGGGATTTTTGAAGCGCTCGTCCTCGACCCTGGACGAGGACAACGTCTACCTGCTGGACACGGGATGGAAGATGTTTGTCTGGATCGGCAAGAACGCCAACCCCGGCGAAAAGGTAGCGGCGCTGGGTGCGGCCGACCGGTACGCCGCCATCGAGCCCCGGGCCAGGGAGCTGCCGGTGACGGTCCTCAAGTCCGGCCAGGAGCGAGACGGGTTCCGCTCCTTTTTCAAGTAGCCCGGGGCAAGAAGCAAGGGACCGAAATCGGAGCTCGAACGGTCTTTTAGGGTTGCACTACGCTGTGAAGGGCATGGCACGAGAAACTACGGGACGACAACAACACCGGTGCAGTGGTGTGGTGTAGCGCAGCGTAGCGTAGCGTAGATAATTCATCATTATTTGTGGTACTTCTCATAGCTCTAGTATTTACCCTACTTTACAGTCGTTCGCACGCCATGGATCGATCAAACCTCGGTTTGAATTGAATTCCAGCCACACGGGCACTGCCGTCTCTGGGAACGAATTCAAAGAAACGCTACATATCCTACGAGATACACCAGGAGGTTTAGATATCCTGGCAAACAGAACGTACCAAACGAGTTGGTCCAATACCGACGTGGTCGACAGGGGTGTTGTTTGCTGCTCTTTAGCACTCTGGTTCTTGCAGACTCGACTGGATTGGCCCCAACCGAATTTCTAAAAGTACGGTGGTAAAGGGATGGCGGAAAGCACGCCGTTCAATCTTGCGAACGGGTCCTTAGCGGAAGGATTGTAACGCGAAGAGCAATCAGTTTCTTTTGCGTCACGAACGCTGGATATGGGATCGAATAAGTTGGTGGAGTAGCGTACTTACAATTTAATCGTTTTTTGGATGAAGGCACGAGTAGGTACTTCTAGAAGTACGGTAGACTTTGGGGGATAGAAGAGATGGGACCTCGTTGGATCTTGCGAACGGTTTCGTATCGGTAGAATTGTAACGCGAAGAGCAATCAGTTTCTTTTGCGTCACGAACACTGGATATGGGATTGGATATGCTGTAGTACGTACAATTTAAGCGTTTTTTGGATTAGGGTACCATAAGTGAATTGTAGAAATTAGTCGAGGAAGAGCAAAATAACACTACAAGTAGTTTTTATTACTTATTGACCGACTCGACAAAATTCTCATAAAACTGAAACTTAAAGTAATGATATTTGTCAGTAGCGCACGTGCGCTGGATTTTCCCCGCGCTTCCGATAAAATCTAGTGGTTTCACACGATTGAAAATAAATGTGATTAATACTGCCGGTATCCGGTATCAGCACCGTTGCTTTAAATATTCATGAGTGTTTTTTTCCCCCCTCGATCTCTGTTCATTGCGAACCTCTATCGAGAGAACGCACCAGCGTTTGCCCATGGACGTGTCCTCTTGTTCTCCAACGGAAGCAGTCGACCTTTCTTGATTCATCCAGGGCCCAGACTAGGTGTTCACAAATCTGTTTTCGACATTTTGAAAGCCAAACCTAACCGATTTCAATCCCCAACCAAATACTTCGCGATGACTTCCTTTAAGATTCTATTTTCTTTCCTCTTGCTTGCCGCCTCGGTACGTACAAAAGGGCGTCGCGATATTCTCTGTTCTCCTTAGGCATGCTAATTTTTGTTCAAATCTAAAGTTCTCGAACTCACCACCCTCTTGCCATGCCATGCCATGCCACCACACACACAAATCTCTCCTCGCCTCGACTGCACCATAACATCCTACACTACGGACGACAATACATTCCTTGCATCCAACGGCGAACCTACCCACCAATCGATTGGCCTCACCCAATCAGGCACGAGCCGCCGCGAGCGACACGATCATCCGCGATTTGCAAAAGGAGCTCAAACCGCAAAAATTCATCCGGCGCTGCATGAAGACCGGGGTCAGTGAGGATGAGTGCGAGGAACTCGTTGAGGAGTGCATCAAGGACACCGAGACATTCAGGATGTGCAAGGCCAAATTCAAGGAATGCAAGACGTCCACCGACAAGAAAGGGTGCCGAAAAAGCTTGGTCGAGGAGTTTCCCGAGTGCGAGAGGGAGAAGAAGGACAAGGATTGCAAACAAAAAATCAAACAGTGCAAGGAGCAGGGCATTCCCAAAAAGGACTGCCTAGCCAACCTTCCAGACTGCAAGCCGTCGACCGTCAAGAACGCCTGCAAGGCACTCTTCCCCAAGGTTAAATGAGGAAGTGCAATCCAGTGATCCATTCATCATTACATGATAATAGTTAACAACGTCTTGGTTGGCGCAACAGAAACATGTTTTGTCTTGCGGTTTTGCAAGGCTAGCAGCAGAATTTCAGAAGATATTCAACCTCATTGTAACTCTCATTCATAATAAAATCAATAAAAAATAAAGAATATGCCGTACCGGTACGTAGCAAGTGCACCCACAACTAACTCTTACGTTCATACTGGTAAAAAACATATGAACCGTACTGTACGATAGTACCGTACAGTAATGTTCCCCGCAATGATAGGTGCCAATCCTACCATACGGTACGTACGATACGTACCTACCCCCCTTTCTTTTTCATGACCGTTTCTTCCATTTTCGAATTGCTTCGAGTCAAGACGTTCTTGTGCTGGTACGTACGAGTCAGTACGAGAAGGGACTCGATCCTACGATACAAATATCGAAATCAATCATCACGAACAGACCACAAACAAAACACACACCTCAAGGCAACATAACGCAACGATGAACTCCCTCGCAGCCGCAAACGGCGGCGGCGCCACCGAAACCAGCGCGTCCACGAAGAAGATCATCGACCTTTCCGACAAGCTGGAGAAGACGGCCTGCTACGCGCGAAACGAACACAGCCGGTTTCCCTGGACGAATCTCCTCATCGGCGACACCCGACTCGGCTGCAAGTCCGATGCCGACGAGCAGCTCATTCTCCACTTTGAATTCAGCGAGTTCGTTCGGGTCCACTCGATAAAACTCACCGAATTCAACAACGGGGTGGAACCGGAAGAAAACCCGACGCGTGAGTATATAATGGACACGGACGCTACGGAGATGGATGTGACGCGTCGGTATTGTTCTTCGAACGACTATCGGTGACAGCAACGATAACGTGCTGGTAGCTAGCAGCAGACCAACTTAGGAACGAAACTCCCTAAACTTTATTGCACGATGAAATTCGACATTGCTTTTCGGCATTGTGTACTAAACTCGGTGGAATTGGATGGAACGAAATGGGATGATAATCTACTAGTTCCGATGTTTTCATGCCGACCTGATTCATTCGTGACGGCATTGATATTCGTTCCTCTATTACACTCACTCAACAGGACTGAAATTTCCTTCTTCTCTTCTTTTCTCCACCATTTTTAATGAATGGAAACGTGAATTGAAATGTTTTTATTTCAATGGATTTGCTACGGTAATATTTTCTTCGGTTTAAAAAAAACGCAAACCACGATCATATCCACAGGTGTCTTGCTCTTTGTCAATCGCAACAACCTGGGATTCGAAGACATCGACGACGTCGATCCGACCACAACGCTCGAATTGACGGCCGAAGACCTGAAAGAAAACGCCGACAATCTGCTCCTCAAATTCGTTCAATACCAGCGGGTCAAGAGCATAACCCTCTTTATCGAAGACAACAACGGGGGCGAGGTGAGCGCCCTGGGCGGACTCAAGTTCTATGGCCTTCCAGTCGCCACCACGAACATGGCCGATTTCAAAAAGCAGGGATGAGGTCGTTAGAACCTTTGTCCACCAACCGCAACAACAACAACAACTTTGAGGACATGCTCGATACCCAAATTCGCATTGCATTTACCCTCCTGCTCACTTGGTATGTTGTTGGTTGGTGCTTGGTTGGCTGGATTATTGGTTCGAATTCACACGAATGCCGTTAGCGCGCATGGATGCATGTATACACGCATGTATTCTTTCGTACGACGTCCAATGGAGATGAATATCGAACGAAAGAATCACCGCATTGTCGGAATGACGCCTGCCGCAGATCGCAAAAGCACTCCTTGGTTTCCACCAAACCGTCAACCTTGCCATGTACGAGCGTGCGGTAAACAACCGCTCAACGATGCACGGCACGATGCGAGGACGTGCGATACGATTGCCAGGGCCGAAAAAGACATAGCGGGATTGTGTTGTGTGTATGCATATTTCTGCACCACGTTTAGAAGAGAAACATTGCAAACACCGCACCTTTGCGACAACCTTAGGTGCTGCTACTGCGAAGAAATTATTCCTCGCGGTGTTATTTTACATCATTCTTCCTTTATCATATTAGGCTCTATTATATTATTACACCGTGCATATTTGAATACCGGGAAGATACGTCTTCTCAAAACTTCAGGTGGTTCATGTTCTCATTGTTTCAGTACACTACGGTTTACGTAGTCCTTTAGACACAAGTCCACCAAGGAACGCTTGCAACTTCATAGTCTTCTGACATGTGGCTGCCATGCCAAGACAGTGAAGGAGCGGCCCACACCGGTACAATCCAGACGCGACGGAACAAAGCTTGCTTGTTGTTTCGTCTTGTTCCCACCGAAGTCTACCTCTAATTTGGCGTCGGCGGGCTGGAAACAAATTCCTCGACAATCCACTTGGCAACCCGGTGGTAACTGTCCCGGAGGGAAGCACCGGACGGCGGTGACCGCCCACTCTCAGCGCGATACCCCTCGCACAGTCTCCCGATGTTCTCCACAGTGGGGTGGGAGGAGGATCCGTGGAGGTAGATGGAAAAGACGTACGCAAAGTCCAGAACCAGGCTGGGATCCCCGGCCACGAGGGAATCGAGTTCGCTCAGGTCGGCATCGAAGCGTTGCAGGAATCCACAGGCCTTGCCGAGGTCCTTCGCGCAGTACACAAGGACTTCCAGGGTGGTTTCGTCTAGGACGCAGCGGGGCCCACGGCCTCCGCTGCCCCCGCTTTGCAGAGCTTCGTTCATAACCACCCGAAATGCCTCCGACAGGTGGGCGATGGATATCAGCCCCAGTTCGTTTCCCCTCTCCGAACCAATCCGCGAAAACACACTCGACATGCAGTAGTTTAGCTCGCCCACCGCAGCCATCTTTGCCCCAAGCAGGGGGATTGTCCTGTGCCTCGTCGAGCGGTAAACGGACGGCATCGCGGTTCGCGCGACGCCCTTTTTTTTGGCAATTGCAACCAGGGCTTCCTCGGTTTCCTCCATGACCAGCCACTGGTTCTGGAACAAGACGTCGAGGCCCAGGCACTGATCCATGCTTTCCTTAAAAAATAGCAAGGAAGCTTTGAACGTGCTGCTTGGTTCGCCCGAGGCGGCAAGTAGCAAATCTTCCTCCGTGAATTCGAGGGGGAAGACCTCTAGGTCACCAATGGTACACGCCCTGAGTCCAAGGTGCTGGCCAGTAAGCGTCAGTGCCCTAGTCAGGGCGAGCTTTGCGTGAATATAGCGCAGTGCATCGTTGGCAAAGAGCGATCGGATCGGTGGGGGGGGGCGCTTCCGTTGTTGGTTCGTTTCGTCGTTCTCCTCTATCCACCAGCCCTTGTCCTCGACAAAGGTTGTGGACCTCATTTGCATTGTCAGAAAAATTTGGTAGCGAGGCCCGGCCGATTTGACGGCTTTTCGGGCACACTCGATGGCACTGCGGAGTTCCGGGACGTCCATTCCGGGACGAACATAGGTCTGGGAATACAAACGATCGATCAAAAATTTCGAAGAATAGATTGCACGATCGATGGCCAGCACACGTTGCTCATCGGTTCTTTCGTTGGTTTCCGAGTACTCACCGTCGTCTAGAGAAGACGACAACGAAAGAATGTCTGCGGCAACATCCCAGAGGCCCGCGTTGCCCAATCGCAGTGACAGAAGACAGGATCGGGTATCGGACGGAACCGATTTTGTTCTGGCATTGCTGCTTCGTTCAAAAGTGGCGACCGCAAGTTTCTCGAGTTTTTCTCGCCGCTGCAGAGTCATTAGGAGGGGTGGCATAGATGGTGCATCGAACAAAAGTCCGATGGCGAGGGCGATGTATTCGGGATCGTAAGCCTTGTTGTCAGTGGCGTCCACTTCGTCTGCACCTTGTTCTTCAACTCCGACAAGCGGAGCATTGGCGTCCTCATCACGAGCATCAGATTCATCTACGTTCAAATCAGATTGTTCTGATTCCGGAACCCGATCGGATGGTTCTCCTGCTGTTTCTGTTGCTACCACCTCGCTTAAGATGCCGTACAGCAGCCCGTAGAGACCCTGCCACGTCTCGTCCTGAAAACGGACCAGTTGCTGCTGTTTCGTTGTTGTTGATGCACTTCGCTCGTTGTCGTTTCTTTTGTCGAGGTTCGGGTTGTCGCCTCCCCCAATGCTTGTGCTTCGACCGACCCGCAGGACGTTGCCGATTGGGCCCTTGTCTTGTTGGACAACGCTTTGCACCGCAATGGCTTTTTCGTCGATGCTTTCGCCGTGCTGCTCATCTAGGGTGGCGCCAACTCCGTTCGACGCAATGGCAAGATTCTCCCAGTGCGTCCTTGCAATACCTGCCATGGATCGCACCGCCATCCAGGCAGCTTTTTCGGCGGAATCGCCTTCTACGGCAACATTCGTGTGAGGCAACAGCTGGGAAGCCTTCGACAATTCCTCTGGCAAAAGATAATGGAGACATTCCGCCCAGATATCAGGCGGAAGACTTCGGTAGGGAGTACGGCCTTGTCCGTTCTCTCGGCCGTCTGCCATTTTGTGCGGGTTCGTTGAAGTGAAGCGGCGGTGCAGTGAATAAATTCGACGCGTTAGACGTCCTTGTCCTTGGATGGAATATGGGATGGAACTACCGTAAAGTGGAAACGAATGAACGGATCTGATTTTTTTGTTCGTACCGAATTGAAAAAGAGAACTCGCGATGTATCTTTCGCGTACAGAAATCGTACGGTCGTACCGCTGGAATGAAGTTCCATTCAGTACGTATGAGATTCCGTGCGGAGGTGCTTCGAAAAGCGATCCTGGAAGTGTTATCGAAGACAATACGTGTTTTTTGAGAATCTAGAAAGTCTCCTCCACTTACCGATACGAGGACTCCTAATGTCAAGCGCAATAAAGTCAAGTACAGTACTTGGCAATTCCCCTGGAGAGCTACCGATCAGCCAGGAAATCAGTCCCGTAAGACTAAAAACGGGACAAGAAAGCGCGTGCTCATTGCATGCAAAGAAGATTCCATGCACTTTATTTGAATTGCCTTTTTGGGTTCGCCACTCTTATTTGGGGGAAGGTTGTTATTTAGAAAAAGTCTATTCAATTCGCCGACAATTAAATTTAATTAATCGATTAATTAAAAATTAATTAAATTTAATTAATTTTTTATTAATTGATTAATTAAATTTAATTGATTCAATAATTAAATTAATTATTTATTTATGTAGTGCTGATAGTGGTACTACTGTCGATATGACTACAACAGCAGCAGCTGCTAGCTATGGTTTTTATCTTCACGTGCAAACGCCGTGTTAAAATTACCTTTTCACCTAAAATCAGTTCGGAATCAAACTGGAGACCAAAATACTGCTCTTGGGAGCTTCCTAGTACAAAACGCTCGTAGAAATCCTGTAGAAAAATCAAAATCAAGGGGGTATACTGTCCATTTTGCTCAAAATGGAAGGGTTTTATTTTTACGTGCAAACGCCGTGTAAATGTTAGCTTTTTACCAAAAATCAGCTTACGGATGGAAACAAACACCATGACCAACAGCTGGCACCGAGACCTCCAGAACAGCAACAGTGGTGCAACTAGTAGGAATGGAGCTGTTGCAATACCGGTCAGCAAAGAGAGGGCGCGGCGCATTTCCTTGCCAGAGGAGATCCATCCCATTTTGTTTAGGCTACGTGTATCGAACATCGTAGTCGACCTGATACAGCCCCCCTTCTTCCTCGAGCTTCAGCTGCGTAATTACTGCCACAGCTGCAAAGCATATTCCATGCTTTCCTATCATTTTGTCCCTGGTCCTGCCTTCAGTGTGATGGAATGAAGCATTGAGCACATTGAATATTTTCAGTCTCCCGTTAATATTTTCATGCCGTCCTCGGATGATCGACTTTTCTTTTCTTTGCTTGCTGTCTATCCCCTGGTTTGGGGTCTTTCCCTTTATTGTTCCCCTCAGACCACTATCCGCTTCCACCATTTCCCAGTCCTCAAGCCGCGTTGCAAGCTCGGAATCAAAGATGCCTTTCTCAGAAGTGCCACCCGTAAAGGGACCATTGATCCAGACAATGTAACTTGTTTCGATACAGATTCCAACTTCATATCTAATAGCTGGACCATTAAATTTCTCTGAATACATGTCAGTGCTAAAGGGATAAGGCTCGTAGCATGGACAATCAGTCCAGTCGACAGATATCATGCAATCTGTCTGCGGCAAGTACTCCCCAGTTGTTGGTGATTGAGGTTGACCAAGGAATCTATTCTCCCAAACAATAACTTGCTCTTGCAGCTCAAAGATCTTTCTAACAAAATACCATGACCATTTACGAAATGTTTCCCTATGAGGCCAGCCAACTACAGCGCAATGGATCTCTTCCGACGTGGCGTATACTTTCAGGAATAGCAGGGCCCACAATAGATGTTTGGGTTCTGCTCCTGCTGCTGATTCATCACCAAGATCGATACGATTCCACAAATTAGCAATAACTGAGCTTGATGCTCCAAATAGACTAGCTATACGATCTTCCTTATGCTTACTAATCCATTGTCTATGATCTGGCCATCTAATGGTCTCTTGGATGATATTATCAATCGTTTCAGCGTCCATTGAGCTTGCTGCTTTTGGTGTTGCTCTTGTTGCAGTTAATGAGCACGCAAGCTGTATATCAGCATGCTGGAGGGAAGTTCAGGTAAAGACACTAGGACACAGTATGATTTTGAACGCGGAATCAAAACCCTTTCATTTTGAGCAAAAAGGACAGTATACCCCCTTGATTTTGATTTTTCTACAGGATTTCTACGAGCGTTTTCTACTAGGAAGCTCCCAAGATCAGTATTTTGGTCTCCAGTTTGCTTCAATTGACCGAAGTAGGCTCCAGTACATAGTGTACTACGCGTAAAGTGGCTCTCCTCAGCTATACTAGGCAATAATGCTGTATTTATAGCCTTGACGAGTTCGGTCCTCCGTTAGACAGACCAATGCTTTATATTAACATACAAGAAGAATGTTGATTGTATATAGTTATTCTTTGGAATATAGGCATACAACAATGCATATCATTGCCATATTGCTTCAATTCCGGGATTAAGATTGTTAAGTATAGAAAATCGCCTGTCGGCCACTTTATCTCTTCAACACGGTGTAACGCGTAGAAAGCAAATCACGATTAGATCCTCGTGTAATTCCTAGTAAAATTATAATATTACAAACAAAATAACAACGCTAATCTAAATTGCTGCTGCTGTTGTCCTCCTAAATGGCAAGGACCCTTGGATCTAAGAACAAAATTAAAAAAGGACAATCACCTACTACATCATTCGACAGACTGTCGACACTAGAGCAGCTTGTAGTGTACTATTATTGGATCTATCTCAAAACAGGAGGAACTGAGGGTTGGGAAAACGCAAGGTCTGGTTCAACTGAGCACTGGAGGCATTACAAGGTAGTTCACGAACACTGGAAGACAGCATCTTCCTTCTATAATAGAGCAAAAGTAAGTGCGTTATCGGCGATGAACAACAGTTGTCCTCGTAGTAGTGGACTGGGGGCGTTTTGCTAACAACAGTAGTAGAAACTAACTCGTAGTAATCCTATTGTAGAGACTAAATCTTCTTGCTGAAGCCCTATATCAAGGAAACCACACAATTGAAGAGCCTTACATTGAAGGCATTCCAAGACTGCCATCGACTGTTGTTGCAGAAGCAGCTAGTAATAGTACTGTTGAGTCCAACTCTACTTCTCCGGATCAACGTCCAAAAGAAGCACCAGCAAGAACAACTCCTCCTCCGCCATTTGCATATCCAGCAAGAAGAACTACTACACCAGTAATTGCACTCTTCACTCCTTCCCCACCAGTAGCAGATCGAAAACGCGGCCGAGAGATGCCTGTTAGTGCTCCCCCTGCCTCATCGTCGGCAAAGAAGCAGCAGCTTCCTCCATCGCTCCAGGCCGCTTCAGTCGATGATCTTGTCAATCCTGCAAACAACATGTCGCTTGAAGATGGAAGTCATGTGCGTGTCTTGGGAAGCGCCTATCCTACTATCATAGGAACTTGGGACTCACAGGACACCAATGATGAGGATTCCTCTGATGAAGAGTATGAAGACCAGGTCTTCACCATGATCAGAATGATCATGCACAACGCCATTCATTCAGATCTTATCATCCCCGAGTGGCTTGATCCCTTCAACCTTCAGCTAACCATTCGCTGGCCCAAGTGGTTCAAGAAGGTCTCTAGGCATGTTGCAATTCAAGAGGGACAGAAGCACCAGTTTGACAGTAAGCATGCTGTCATTCGGACCATGAGACGCTACCTCAAGAAGCTCTACAAGAAGGATACTTTTGGCCAACCCATGAAGGAAAAGATCATTGAGGATCACATAACCATCCAGTTTGCCACACCAATGTGTACGGACAAGCAAGCTGTCAACATCGATGTTGTTGATATCAAGGTCACAGACGATGATCTTTCTGATGCTGAAGCCCTCCCCCCCAGGGGAATCATCAAAGTACTCCAAATTATTGCTGAAGCAGATATTGGATCAAAGAAGATGAACCAACGCATCCAGGTTGGAGGAAGAACTGCTAATTTAGGTAAGGAACCAAGTGGAATTCACCATGGTGCTGAGCCGGATGAGCAGAGGAATGCGAAGGATGCTCCTGCTGCTGCTGACAAGCTTAATCGGCAGCAGCCTCGTCGCCGGCAGCTTCTTCGTAACACCACAGAGCAGCAGCAGCAGCTTGTACCATTTGCCGATAATGCAATGGATGAAAGAGAGCATTCTCAAAAAAGAACTAGAACTCACATCATTCCCCCTCATAACACCAACAAACCTTAGGCAAAGCACTAGCCCCGCTCACCACCGACATGTCCAACTGACTAGTAGTAGAAGAACAGAAACAAATTGAGTTAGCTGCTTCAATTGCTACATGTCAGTCAACGGATGACTCATTTGAATCCAACACAGATCTTGATCCAGTTGCGACGCTCACCAGAGATATCGTAGAACTGGAGACGGAGCTGATGAAATTTAAAGCGTGTAGTACTGCTGGTGGTGACAACACCAAGACCTATCAGCGGGACGCTTAGAAATAAGTACATATTTTATTCGCAGTTTTTTGTACCTCCAGAGCAGCTCAAGACACTGGAGTACCGGAACCAGAGGTGTTCCTTGTAGTGTAAATGGACTGTTTGGGGAGCTTTTTTCTTCCATCGACTGAGTGTGCTTGTTTGTTGCAGCTGCTGGCGAGTATTCTTACTAGTACTACTACGCACTGATGTAATGCTAGTAGTACTACGTACCTTACGGTAAACTGGTGTATGGACCGTATTTGTACGCGCCTGCAGTCCTTTAAGACTACAAGCCGGCTGTTGAAGTAGGGGGGGTTAACAAAATTAATTAAATTTAATTAATTAATTAATTAAATTTAATTAATTATTTTATTAAATTTAATAAAATGATTAATTAAAATGACTTCGCCGATAATTAAATTTGGTTTTAGGGGTTCCCCCCTTTAAGTAAATTACACGGGATTACAATAGAATGACCCATATTTGAATAATAGCCGTTATTTTAATATAAAACCGTTTAAAACGCGCGGTATTGTGCGAATAATGAAAAAACAGTCCCTTCGGTAGCTCTCCTGGTGTCAATTTTTTTTATTTTCCCGTCTTTATTTCTCCTCTCCCCCTCCTCCACGAGAAGAAAAGTCCGAAAATATTTCTATTCCTGGTACTTACTAC